TTCTATTGATATCGGCGGCATTACCCCAAAGCAAATTTTTTCCTCGCAATTTCATTTTTCACATGCAACATAATAAGGAAGAGTACACGTAGTTTGGCTCAAAAAAACTTGTCATAATTTTATAGCTTTTCCCTAATTTAATACGGCAACGAGTGCTCGATTGTTTAAATGACGTCACTGAATTCAATCAGTGTAAGTGCTCTTTGTGAAAAAATTCGTCCAAAGACGTACTGCCACTATGCCTACATATCGATACCAGAAGTATCAATTAATATAAGGGACAAACCACGGTTTTCAGGAGAGCCAAAAAACGATTTAATTTTTTAAAATCTGTCTCTAACTTTTTACTGTCTGCTCCAATTTTGATTGTGTCTAGAGCAAAGTTTCTTAGAATTTTCTCTTCTTTCATGCTATATGCTATATACGAAAGATTTAGGAATGCCCAGTGGTTTAACATATACCATGTCCCTTACATTAAAAAAGATGCTTATTTGTGCCTTGCGTTACTAATATTTTATGCATAAACCGTCGAGCATAGTGTAAGCTGTAAGAGAAATAGAAAATTATACGTAATTCTATTTTAAAGATGATTTATAATATTGTAATAATAATGACTATTTATTAGGATTAGTAACGTAAGCCACAACTAAACATCTTTTTTAATGTAAGCGACATGCTATATTTTAAACCACTGGCTATTCCGAAATTTAAATAATACCAATCGATAGAGCGGGAACTTCCGAATCCAATGATATACGTAACTCATTTTCGACAAAATGTCCTTTACGTTAATTGATACTTCTGGTATTGGTAATTCCACCACCTAGTAGCAATGTGAGTGTTAATGCGTTTCGGTTTTGAAGGGTAAACACGTTTACGCACAGCATCCGATTCATATTTCGTTCCAAATCCGAGACCTATACAAATCTAGAAAACTCGGACCCACTTAGGATGTCACTTGTGCACTAAGTCCGATTCCAATCCAAGAAAACACGAATATCGCTTGTTACACCTAGAGTTAAAATGACACTTCGGACATGTGACATTTCGGACCGTCATGTCTCGGATTCGGCAATGACACGAATCGGACGTAGTGTGCAATCGCTCTAAGGGTGCTGGTGAAATACAGGCACATGGGACTTTTTAACTTATGCCCGGCAGATCTTTGAGATTTAAAGTTATGAGCCCCACTACAACTGTTATTGGCAGGCGTGTCCCTTACCACCAGGCGCACGACTAGTTCGCCTCACGAAGCTTAGGTACTAAAATCTTAAGTAGATGCCGCTACGGATTCGAGTCGTTGACCTTTCAATTGCGAAGAAACCGTTCTCCCATGGACCTACTACAGTTCTTATAGTTCCTGTTAAGTTTAATTACTTACGCAAGCGATTAAAAGAATGGACCCTTTCACAGTGTCCAGAAATTTAAGTGGCACTCAATCAAATCGAGTTAGAAATCTACATTAGAAAAATGTACTTGATACTTGAATCTTGAAGCGGATTTGCACTTTCATAATCACGAATTAAATTGTTTATTACGAATTCCTCTTGAGTACGCCGTGATTCAATAACGCGTGGGAGGCGAGATGGTGTTAAGCCGCTTTCTTGTCTGCGCTAAAATCACGTTAAAGTATTGGTTCTCTCATTTTGTATTTTCTTATGATGACGGGACGAACAAGTCAAGAAATACGCCTAGTACCGCCGGCTGCACTATGATGCAGGCCGTGCGACGGCCACGGGCAGAAGGTCTTAGGGGGTGCCGAGTGTAGTGTCGGTCGAGAAGCCTCCAAGGAACCTGCGTCACTCACGGCGCAAGCGATATGAACGGGTCATTGCCTCCCAACATCATTTATAATTGTACCATGTGCAATTGAATCACCGATCACTGGGGAAAATATACGAGCATTCTCTATTTTAATCGCGTGCCTGCTAGAGGGCGCTAGGGTATTTATTGCACCCGGGCGTTACATGGGTGTCACCGGAGGTTACCACATCTAGCGCTAACAGTGATGGCCACTAGACCATCGAGGTCGTCGGATTAGCGACACATTGACTTGTATGAAACCATTTACAGCATCATACAAAGGTGTCGCATCGAAAACTCTCGATTCTATGCGACCGTTGTCTGTGATGCTGGAATTACAAATGGATTGCTAAAAATGTCGTTTCGCGTGCGCAGCGGCACGCATCACCGAGTGAAAACCGTCTGATGTTTTACTTTACCGTGAAAGTGACACACGGTTCAGTTACTATGAGAAAAGTTCTGAACGCTTTAAACAATATTGATAAAACAAACTCAATAACATAACACAAATAAAGTCATAGACAAACAACAACAAATCCATACATTATATACAATATCCAATGGAAGATTACGCCTTAGAACAATTGTTCGTGGACGAAAGGTTACCATCCTGGACTGCCACGCAGAGGTCCTAGGTTCCATTCCCGGGCCGGGAGAAATATTTGTATGGCCTTTATTTATTTCTCTCCCGAGTTTGGGTGTAATTTGTGGTTGTCTATGTGTGTCCATGGCACCTGTATTACAGGGTTTCCCTAGTGCGGGGCTATGAGCATCTTTTTCGTCACTAACAAGACGAACA